GATTTTAAGAATTTCAGGCGAATACAGTTGGATTTGTGAAAAAGTTTGAACTTTGATTGCAGATCAAAAGCTGTTTGACTCCTGCCAGTAAAGTTTATGTACAAAGTGATGTGAATTGTCAATGTGTTATGTAATGAAAATGAACTATTGTATAATTTGATTACAAAATAATGATAAAACAGCTACGTTTAAGAGGGGCCATGATAGCTCAGGTACGTAGAGTCAGTTGACTAACACTCTGTACTCCAAGGTGTAGATCTGAGGTGTGTGGTTTGACACTCCCAACCTGTGTCAGGGTGTGTTTCTAAAGAAGCTCAGGGAAACGGACTAGTCTATATTGTCCTGGTTGTGTCCCTGGCCAAGTCACTTTCTGATGAAGGAGACTGATGCTAACTGACTATCTAATCCATATATAAAATGTGTACAGCATTATCACTTCACATGTATATATATCTTTATTAGGTGATGGGAAAATAGAAAATAATCTCAAATTAACTAATGAAAAAGTGAAATCAATTAATCAATGCCAAAATTACAAAGTTCAGGAATGACTAAGACAGCTGGGATATCCCTATGGTTCAGGAATTACTAAGACACCTTGGAGATCCCTATGGTTCAGGAATGACTAAGACAACCTGGTGATCCCTCTGGTTCAGGAATGACTAAGACAACCCAGAGATCCCTATGGTTCAGGAATTACTAAGACACCTTGGAGATCCCTATGGTTCAGGAATGACTAAGACAGCTGGGATATCCCTATGGTTCAGGAATTACTAAGACACCTTGGAGATCCCTATGGTTCAGGAATGACTAAGACAACCTGGTGATCCCTCTGGTTCAGGAATGACTAAGACAACCCAGAGATCCCTATGGTTCAGGAATTACTAAGACACCTTGGAGATCCCTATGGTTCAGGAATGACTAAGACAACCTGGTGATCCCTCTGGTTCAGGAATGACTAAGACACCTCAGAGATCCCTATGGTTCAGGAATGACTGAGACACCTCTGAGATCCCTATGGTTCAGGAATGACTAAGACACCTCGGAGATCCCTATGGTTTAGGAATGACTAAGACAACCTTGGAGATCCTTATGGTTCAGGAATGACTAAGACAACCCAGAGATCCCTATGGTTCAGGAATGACTAAGACACCTCTGGGATCCCTATGGTTCAGGAATGACCATGACATCTCGGAGAACCCTATGGTTCAGGAATGACGAAGACATCTCGGAGATCCCTATGGTTCAGGAATGATTGAGACACCTCTGAGATCCCTATGGTTCAGGAATGACTAAGACACCTCAGAGATCCCTATGGTTCAGGTATGACTAAGACAACCTGGTGATCCCTATGGTTCAGGAATGACTAAGACAACTTCTGAGATCCCTATGGTTCAGGAATGACTAAGACACCTCGGAGAACCCTATGGTTCAGGAATGACGAAGACATCTCGGAGATCCCTTTGGTTCAGGAATGACTGAGACACTACGGAGATCCCTATGGTTCAGGAATGACTGAGACACCTCTGAGATCCCTATGGTTCAGGAATGACTAAGACACCTCGGAGTTCACTATGGTGCAGGTATGACAAGACAACCTGGTGATCCCTATGGTTCAGGAATGACTAAGACAACTTCTGAGATCCCTATGGTTCAGGAATGACTAAGACACCTTGGAGATCCCTATGGTTCAGGAATGACTAAGACAACCTGGTGATCCCTATGGTACAGGAATGACTAAGACAACCCAGAGATCCCTATGGTTCAGGAATTACTAAGACACCTTGGAGATCCCTATGGTTCAGGAATGACTAAGACAACCTGGTGATCCCTCTGGTTCAGGAATGACTAAGACACCTCTGGGATCCCTATGGTTCAGGAATGACTGAGACACCTCTGAGATCCCTATGGTTCAGGAATGACTAAGACACCTCTGAGATCCCTATGGTTTAGGAATGACTAAGACAACCTTGGAGATCCTTATGGTTCAGGAATGACTAAGACAACCCAGAGATCCCTATGGTTCAGGAATGACTAAGACACCTCTGGGATCCCTATGGTTCAGGAATGACCATGACATCTCGGAGAACCCTATGGTTCAGGAATGACGAAGACATCTCGGAGATCCCTATGGTTCAGGAATGATTGAGACACCTCTGAGATCCCTATGGTTCAGGAATGACTAAGACACCTCGGAGATCCCTATGGTTCAGGTATGACTAAGACAACCTGGTGATCCCTATGGTTCAGGAATGACTAAGACAACCTCTGAGATCCCTATGGTTCAGGAATGACTAAGACACCTTGGAGATCCCTATGGTTCAGGAATGACTAAGACAACCTAGTGATCCCTCTGGTTCAGGAATGACTAAGACACCTCGGAGATCCCTATGGTTCAGGAATGACTGAGACACCTCTGAGATCCCTATGGTTCAGGAATGACTAATACAACCAGGAGATCCCTATGGTTCAGGAATGACTGAGACACCATGGAGATCCCTATGGTTCAGGAATGACTAATACATCTCGGAGATCTGTATGGTTCAGGAATGACTAAGACAACCTGGTGATCCCTACGGTTCAGGAATGACTAGGAGATCTCAGAGGGGAATTACAAAGAGATGTTAGGGATGAAGTGCAATATTGTGTGTTATCTTGAAAAGCTTTTATTTAAGTACTTAGATTAGTATAGAAGATACAAATTCTGGCAAAGTAACAGATTCAAAATACCCCATCAACATGGTTGAAAAAATAACAATATTATCAGTGTAAGAGAAATTAAACTTTATCGCAATTCATTGGAGAAACTGATTATAGTTGATAATCAGTCAAATATGTATACTGATAATTAATTATTCATTTTGAAACATGAACCAATTTCCATCACTTACCTATAGTGATAATCGTGATCAGTGTGAACATGCTGAAGTGCTAAACATGACATTGTTATCATTATCAGTGTGTACATGCTGAAGTGCTAAACATGGCATTGTTATTATTATCAGTGTGTACATGCTAAAGTGCTAAACATAACATTATGAAATTAAATTAGATATACAAAATACATGGAGATTTTTATAATTGTCAGTAATTAATAAAAAAAAAGACATGATTATTATCTTGTTCTTTTCCTTGTCATGAAAAAATTATCAACATGGGTACGCCATACAGAAGAAAAAGTCTATATTTGGCACAACATTACATGAACTATCTCAGGGTCTTTACTAACACACTGACAAATACAGCGTGAATACCAACGACCAGAAATAATCTGACATGACCTTATGTAACAGAGGTCATTTTTCATCTCAATGCCTCCGCTAGGAATCGAACTCGGGACCCCTGGCTTACTAGTCTGACGCTCAACCAATCGAGCTAAAGAGAAGTTCTCTCTAGCCGAGTGGCATATTGCGGCTAGTATTTTACCAGGGTTACATACTCCCCCTCCAGGAAATAACTCGTCCTCGAGTTTCCAGGGGTAACAGCGATGCTGGTGGGGCATGGCCAAGTACTATTCCCGAGTCCCTACATGGGCGCCAATGTAACAGAGGTCATTTTTCATCTCAATGCCTCCGCTAGGAATCGAACTCGGGACCCCTGGCTTACTAGTCTGACGCTCAACCAATCGAGCTAAAGAGAAGTTCTCTCTAGCCGAGTGGCATATTGCGGCTAGTATTTTACCAGGGTTACACTTACATGGACTACCTTCAACTTTGGGATTTTATCAACACACTAACAAATATACCGTGAATACCAACGAAATAATACATCTTTGTTTATCTGTCTCATTGTGTGTCCTCTTTTTTATTAACAATAATGTTTCATCACACTGACCATACCTGTACACGTAAACATGTATTAAGCATTCACCAATATTGCTTTTGTGATATAATATTTCAGTAATCTTTCCGCTTAAATTGTTTTATTTGCCTGGTACATAAACAAATTATTTCAGATTACTCAACGACCTACTGTAAATGTAGATATTTTAGTGTTTATCTTATTTTAGTGTGTTTTTATACTAGCTTAAAGCTATTCCACTAGAATATGATTTTGCAAATTGTTGCTTCTGTTAAAATCATTTATCAACTATATATGTAATATCAATATATCGTAACTATTGCCTATTATTGCTCTATTTTATCATCATACTTTATCATTGCATTGATTTATCATTTGCTATCAATCAATGTGCTGACAAAATTTGATGTTTTGATTATATAAAAAAATTAGTGCTCTCTCTCTCTCTCTCTCTCTCTCTCTCTCTCTCTCTCTCTCTCTCTCTCTCTCTCTCTCTCTCTCACTCTCTCTCTTCCAAAACTTAAATACTGTACTCTTACACTAACGGGCTGGGTTTATTTGAAGGTAAATATGGTAGAGATATATCTGTAGATAGGGATTGACTTATTTCAAAACATGGGGTTATTAACGGGTATGTGATCAATACAGTAGTGATGTACATGTAGATAGGGCTTGTCTAATTACAAGACAAGGGCTTATTATACAGTAAATACAGCACAGGATAGATAAGGTCGTATTTGTTATATATATTGCCTACATTTTAAAATCTGTTTGTTTTTCGTTTATATGTGATTTAAATTGGTTATGAAATCACATTTGTTAACGAACTCTCCACAACCATGATCTAGTGAAGACTTAAATTTGTTCACTATAATGATGTTTGGGGAAAAATGTAATCCAGCTTGTTAGCAAGGACATATTTTCACAGGAAACTGTGTGAAGTAGAAGTTTTTAATTAATCATGTAGAAGCCTTAAATCTTAATTTGCTTTCTTATCGTGGTGGCAATGTTTACTGAATCTCCTGGAGATGTACACTCATTATTTTACACTTGTTGTATACATTACTGAATTATTTCATTTTCTTTTGAATCATAAATGATAACATCTGGCTTGAGGAAGTATTTAGAATGAAACTGATTTAAAAACAGAAGAAAGAAACATTCAAACAAATATTTTCATGCCAAATTTTTTTTTCTAGTGGAATGATGATTGATGCTAAAAATTTTGAAGATCGACTCTTCAGCCATCTTGCAGACAAGGATGACAAAGTCTCTATTGGAAAATTCAAAAGTGTAAGGAATGTTACGACTGAGTGATGAATAATTCTCACACTCCTTCTCCTATTTTGGTCCATTTAATACATTTATTTGATAACAGAAAATTTTCTCCAAAACTTTTTAGCCCCCCACTGGGAACCAGTGGTGAGGGGTATTAGGGGAGGCTGGGGGAGGAATATATTTTTACTTTGTGTCTGTCCATCCTTTTGGTGTCTTATCCAGACTCTAATACATGTACTTTGGGTATGGGTTCATCTTCGTGGGGTGGTTTATATGTGTCATATATATCAAAGTAGGTCACTGACCTAGTTTTGACCTTTAGTCAAAATCAAAGAAAAAGATTCCCTCAGTTTGTATTCACCTACACTACTTATCGATGGAATTTCATATTAGGGTATTGGTTTACCTTGTGAGGTGATGTGTCGGTAGGGGATATGAATGATCTTTCCTTAACTTTTACATAAAGTTTGTAATATAGCATTAAGTATATGTAGTGTATTAAATTTCAAAATGATAAAAGCAATCATTTATTCTTTATGTTTTAAATGTGATTTGAAAATTCATTATCTGATAAACTAAAAGGAACTAGCTTCTAAGAGAGTTCAATGTTTTACATAGAGTGACAGAATCCTAGCTTTAGATAAGTCTACATTTTACAACAGTTAATATTGAGGGTCCTTTTGAATTGTGTGATTTTATAGTGTTCATATTACAACAAATATGATATGGAAAATGTTTCATTAATACCTATATATTCATGGTGTGCATTGAAATGAAACAGCTCATGCATGCCATGTGAAAAAAAATTGTTCTATGAATTTATGGAAACACCAGTCTTATATCTGAAGATGTAAAAGATTTTCAGAAGTTAATTTGGGGAAATAAGCTTTAATTTTTGATGATATGTGTACTATTTGGGAACAGGTTCTCAATTAACAGGCCCAGAAAATTCATAGATACAAGCCCTGAACTAATGTAATATTTTATTTATCAATTATTAATTTTAATTTTTTTTTTTTCATTTCAGCTGCTGCATCTGACTGGTTTACGAGAATCGGACCCGCGACTAACAGAATGCATGCAGCATTTTTACAACCTTCAAGTTGAAGCAGGCTTACAAGAATTGTACGACAGCATACGAGTGGATAGAACCCAATTTAAAGAGTATGTACCAGACAAAAGAATATGCATACAAACATCTTTTACATCTAAAAAGGGGAGAAAAAAGAGGGGGGGGAAAGAAAAATCCCTCATCATCATGAAATTAGTCATGTTTCTATATTGTTTCATCAAGCAAAAGAATTTGGACGAAGAAAAAAAAATCATTTGTATGACATCAAAGACAATGAAACATCACTAGTAATTTTAGACCTACAGCAACAGAGATAGGCAGGATGGTTGCCTAACATGATCCAGAAAAATGACTGTTTATAATGCAAATAATTTGTGCAAAGGTTTATATATATATATGGTATAAGCTTTTGAAAGCTGGTCAAAATTGATTTAGTTTTTATAGACGTAAGTATGACTAAGTAAACATAACAAGTCTTTATTGATTTTTATCGTTATATAGGTGTATCAACAAAAACATTGTGCTCATCAGCAAGGCCTTCAGAAACCAGCTGGTCATCCCTGACTTTGTCGACTTTCGGCGGAAGATAGATCGTCTGTACAGACAATCTAGAACCAACACAAGAGGAGAGGTTAGATCTCTTTGCATGACACTATACATTCTTCAAGGGGGATTTTGTATGTTTGCACGCCGCCCACTACTTACAGAGGGGACTATGTATGTTTGCACACCACCCAGTACTTACAACAGAAGGGATTTTGTATGTTTGCACACCACCCACTATTTACAGAGGGGACTATGTATGTTTACACACCGCCCACTACTTACAGAGGGGACTATGTATGTTTGCACACTGCCCACTACTTACAGAGGGGACTATGTATGTTTGCACACCACCCACTACATACAGAGGGGACTATGTATGTTTGCACACCACCCACTATTTACAGAGGGGACTATGTATGTTTGCACACCACCCAGTACTTACAGAGGGGATGTTGTATGTTTGCACACCGCCCACTACTTACAGAGGGGACTATGTATGTTTGCACACCGCCCACTACTTACAGAGGGGACTATGTATGTTTGCACACCACCCACTACTTCCAGATGGGACTAGGTATGTTTGCACACCACCCACTATTTACAGAGGGAATTTTGTATGTTTGCACACCGCCCACTACTTCCAGATGGGACTATGTATGTTTGCACACTGCCCACTACTTACAGAGGGTACTATGTATGTTTACACACCGCCCACTATTTACAGAGGGAATTTTGTATGTTTGCACACCGCCCACTACTTCCAGATGGGACTATGTATGTTTGCACACTGCCCACTACTTACAGAGGGTACTATGTATGTTTACACACCGCCCACTACTTACAGAGGGAATTTTGTATGTTTGCACACCGCCCACTACTTCCAGATGGGACTATGTATGTTTGCACACTGCCCACTACTTCCAGATGGGACTATGTATGTTTGCACACCGCCCACTACTTACAGAGGGGATTTTGTATGTTTGCACACCGCCCACTACTTACAGAGGGGACTATGTATGTTTGCACACCGCCCACTACTTACAGAGGGGACTATGTATGTTTGCACACCGCCCACTACTTACAGAGGGGACTATGTATGTTTGCACACCGCCCACTACTTACAGAGGGGACTATGTATGTTTGCACACTGCCCACTACTTACAGAGGGGACTATGTATGTTTGCACACCGCCCACTACTTACAGAGGGGACTATGTATGTTTGCACACCGCCCACTACTTACAGAGGGGACTATGTATGTTTACACACCGCCCACTACTTACAGAGGGGACTATGTATGTTTGCACACCGCCCACTACTTATGTATGTTTGCACACCGCCCACTACTTACAGAGGGGACTATGTATGTTTGCACACCGCCCACTACTTACAGAGGGGATGTTGTATGTTTGCACACCGCCCACTACTTACAGAGGGGATGTTGTATGTTTGCACACCGCCCACTACTTACAGAGGGGACTATGTATGTTTGCACACCGCCCACTACTTACAGAGGGGACTATGTATGTTTGCACACCGCCCACTACTTACAACAGAAGGGATTTTGTATGTTTGCACACCGCCCACTACTTACAGAGGGGACTATGTATGTTTACACACCGCCCACTACTTACAGAGGGGACTATGTATGTTTGCACACCGCCCACTACTTACAGAGGGGACTATGTATGTTTGCACACCGCCCACTACTTACAGAGGGGACTATGTATGTTTGCACACCGCCCACTACTTACAGAGGGGACTATGTATGTTTGCACACCGCCCACTACTTACAGAGGGGACTATGTATGTTTGCACACCACCCACTACTTACAACAGAAGGGATTTTGTATGTTTGCACACCGCCAAGTACTTACAGAGGGGACTATGTATGTTTGCACACCACCCAGTACTTACAGAGGGGATGTTGTATGTTTGCACACCGCCCACTACTTACAGAGGGAATTTTGTATGTTTGCACACTGGGACTATGTATGTTTGTTTGCACACCGCCCACTACTTACAGAGGGGACTATGTATGTTTGCACACCTGCCCCACTAGGGGATGTTGTATGTTTGCACACCACCCACTACTTACAGAGGGGACTATGTATGTTTGCACACCGCCCACAACTTACAGAGAGGACTATGTATGTGTGCACACTGCCCACTACTTACAGAGGGGACTAGGGTACTATGTATGTTTACACACCGCCCACTATACAGAGGGGATTTTGTATGTTTGCACACTGTCCAGATGGGTTTGCACACCGCCCACTACTTACAGAGGGAAGTTTGTATGTTTGCACACTGCCCACTACTTCCAGATGGGACTATGTATGTTTGCACACCGCCCACTACTTACAGAGGGGATTTTGTATGTTTGCACACTGCCCACTACTTACAGAGGGGATTTTGTATGTTTGCACACCGCCCACTACTTACAGAGGGGACTATGTATGTTTGCACACCGCCCACTACTATGTATCTTTGACTATGTATGTTTGCACACCGCCCACTACTTACAGAGGGTATTTTGTATGTTTGCACACTGCCCACTACTTACAGAGGGGACTATGTATGTTTGCACACCGCCCACTACTTACAGAGGGGACTATGTATGTTTGGCCCACTACTTACAGATGGAATTTTGTATGTTTGCACACTGCCCACTACAGGGACTTTGTATGTTTGCACACTGCCCACTACTTTACAGATGTTTGGGACTATGTATGTTTGCACACTGCCCACTATTTACAGATGGAACTTTGTATGTTTGCACACTGCCCACTACTTCCAGATGGGACTATGTATGTTTGCACACCGCCCACTACTTACAGAGGGGACTATGTATGTTTGCACACCGCCCACTACTTACAGAGGGGACTATGTATCTTTGTATACTGCCCACTATTTACAGATGGAACTTTGTATGTTTGCACACTGCCCACTACTTACAGAGGGGACTATGTATGTTTGCACACCGCCCACTACTTACAGAGGGGACTATGTATCTTTGTATACTGCCCACTATTTACAGATGGAACTTTGTATGTTTGCACACTGCCCACTACTTACAGAGGGGACTATGTATGTTTGTGCTATATCTTCTTTTTACAGAGGGGATTTTGTATGTTTACGAAGCTCAAGGCAGCTATCTAATGTAGATATCCCAACTAGGTGGAAAATTATTCTCTCCTACATATGTATATCACAACGAATGAATTGATACAATATACTCAACAAAAAAAGAAAGGTTAACCTGTTTCCTTGGCGAATGTAAATGAGTGAAAACAAAATGACGTTTGTGCAATATTAGAAAATGGTAATGTTTTACATTACAAAATCCAAGGGGGTTACCAAAATCATTCAAGCGTGAAAGTCTGTATTAGCGAAAGAGCTGCACGAGATTTTCTGCGACTAACTTGTATCTTCGCTTGAATTTCATAAACATTCAAACTGACAACTGTTCCTTAGATCCTTAGGACTTAGAAATCACCGAATCTTACTATCTATCAACTTTATCATTATGCCCCCGCTGTCACAAGTACAGAGAGAAAGGGCTGTAGGCATGATCCAGGCTGAGGAGTCTCGCCGTCGAGTTGCACGGCATTTTGGTTGCAGTGTTAAGACAATTTGCCAGCTGGTAAGTTGTTTAAACCAAACTAGGTCAACATCCGATTGTCCCCGAAGCGGCCGGCCCCGTAAAACGACTGCCAGGGATGACCGTCGTATACGATTGATACACTTGCGCAATCAATTCGTAACCGCAGTAGAGACTACAAGGACATTGTTTGGGCGTCGTGTGTCTCCCAAACAGTCCGCAACAGGTTGAGGGCCTACCAATTGAAAATGTGGCGTCCCTACACTGGACCCAATTTGTTGCGACGTCACCGTAATAATAGGCGTAACTGGACCCGTGTTCACCGTCGTTGGGCCTTACGACAATGGAACAATGTTCTGTTTTCAGATAAGTCCAGGTTTTGTCTGCAACACGGTGACGGAATGTGCAGAGTGTGGAGGCAACGAGGGGAGTGTTTTGCGAACTGCTGCATCGCAGAACGGGATTTGCACCATTTTTCAACAGGATAACGCACCAGCGCACACCAGTTGCATCAGCAGAACTTTCTTGCAGCAGAATAACATACAGGTGGTAGATTGGCCATCTAAATCACCTGATTTGTCACCGATTGAGCATGTCTGGGACATTCTTGGGCGACGGGTGAGAGAACGTCAAAATCAGCCGTCAAACTTGCAGGAGCTGGCCCAAGCCTTGATCGCTGAATGGAACAACATCTCTCCTGGAATTATCCGCCGGTTTACGAGTTCCATGCGATAACGCTGCAATGCTGTTTACTTCGCAAATGGTGGCCATACCCGTTACTAATGGTGTTACCTTTGAAATTGACCCCAACGTCCTTTACAGTCGAATAAAATCAAGTGAACGCAAAGTTTTATAATGAACCATGACTGCAGTTTTATCAGAATTGATAAATTACTTTATTCGTACATGATTGGTAAGGATTTATGAAGGGGTTAATTAATTAATCACAGAATAAAGTAGTGTTACCTTTCTTTTTTTGTTTAGTATATATAAATATCCCTTTGAAAAAAAGGTGGACATTGTGCTTGTAATTTAGTACATGTAAATACATAAAATTTGAATGGCATGATTGTAATGATAAGATGATAAAACTGAAATAAGAATTGTAGAAATTCAGTAAATCATATTCAAAATGCAGTTCATTACACACGTAGATATACATTATACATGTATATATACATTACACATGTGTATATACATTACACACGTGGATATACATTACACACGTAGATATACATTACACACGTAGATATTCATTACACACGTAGATATACATTACACATGTAGATATACATTACACATGTGGATATACGTTATACATGTATTACACACGTAGATATACATTACACATGTGGATATACATTACACGCGTAGATATACATTACACATGTGGATATACATTACACACGTAGATATACATTATACACGTAGATATACATTACACATGTAGATATACATTACACATGTGTATATACATTACAC